CCAAGAACTTGTTTCTGTTCTGTATCGTCAGTATTCGCCCATTTCCATTTCTCTCATTACAGGCAGTTATATTACATTTCAACTATTGACTTCTTCATTTAACATCATGGCAACGTACAGCAAAATTTTGCAGTACCTGCAGCAGCAACCTTATACAGAAATTAGACAATTATGTTCAAGAAAAAAGTTGCAATAAATTAACTTTGCATTCAAAGTTTTTCCCATATTATGTTGTTTGTGGGGTTTTTTTTCAAAGCTCACTTGGAAATATATTTTAGACACGTGCTAATGAAAGACAAATCTGATAAGATGGGGAAAAGGAAAAAAAGAAAAAACAAGGTAGGTGGTGTTTGAAGCAAAACAAACATGTTTAGTAAGTTAAAGCACTAGAAGCTCACCCTGTACTGCATTCCCTTTATGAGGCACAAAAAGGAATACTATACAGAGAACGTCAAGCCATCACATCTGGCAACGTGAGTTTGAAGATTGTTTTGGGTCAAGATAACCAAGTGCACTGACAAAGATGTCTGTCTTTCAAAACAGTTATTTGCTAAGCACAGAGAGAATGAGATCTGACAGTCAGTACCCATGCAGTAAGGTGACTTGTATTGGCCCTTATAAATTCACCTTGGTCTCCTAGGCTTTGTGCCCACATGGATGTATTGGTCATTTTACTTCCAGGGCTTCCTTACTACTACCAAAGCAGGGCAAGTGAGAACAAAGCACACTTTTCACCTGAAGTAAACACTAATGTAAATGTACTCTTAGAGAAAATTTTGGGACTTAGAAGATTGCTGTCATTTAAATACTGCCTTCGCTAGAACAACTAACATAGCAGTATACATCCTTCCATTTCACTTCTTGTCTTGCTTCTTCAAGAAAATTTCCATTGTGTTTGCTCGAGTCAGTTACTAACGATAGAATTTGAATTCAACAAAAACAAAGTAATTAGGCCAGCAGCCATGCTGTATACAATTTTTCCAGGGTAACCTTGTCAAGCCTGAGTATTCAATTTCTATACCCAGAATACACTTGCTTCTAAACATATGACATTATTCTTTGCTATAATGAATAGAGATAAGTCCACTTACACAAGGAAATAATTTTTAAAGGATTTTATAGGAAAATAATCACATGCAGTCACTGGATCAACACGGAAGAAATAGAGAAATTTTCCATCAACAAAACATTGGAATAACACCAGAAAAAAAGACTAAACTTTATGGTTAATACAACAGTGATGAGTATATTCTCAAAACAATGAATATTCCAATTCCTGGAGGGTCCACAACAAAGAAATACCTGCCTAGTGACGGCACAGCCCTCTTAACAGGCTTACCCTGTCATCATTCTTGTGAGGGCAAAAATTACCATGCCCTTGCATTAAGTGAGCTTCTAAAAGTGTTGCTCATACTATCCTTTCAACAGCCTAAGAAATTTCACTGGACATCAGGCCCTGAAATATCTCTTAAACCCCATGCAAATACATATTTTCAAATCATAACAGCGCTGTGATTATTATGGTATTGAATTCAGGAAGATGTTCAGTAAAATCAGAATATAGACCTTTTCTGATCATGGTGGTCCTGGAAGGCCATCAAGACTGCCACTGTGTTGAAATTCAGAGTAGCTAGAAAGGCTCCAATATGTTCCCATATAAACAATTTCCAAGGAAATAAGTTACACTCCAAGTGAGCCAAGTCAAAAATAGGTATATAAAGTTTCTGGCCAGCCATCCCAAACTAGGGAAGACAATCTCTGATTTTTAGATAAATTAAAATGCTTTTCTTTACTCTCAAAAGAATTATCCCACTCCACCATTTTCACTTGCATTGAAAGTAATGTTCCTATTTCAACAGTTCTTACCTGCCTCCAGACTGCAAATAGTAATGACCACAGAAGTACAGGGAAGTTTGCCCTTTCACAAGATTAATATACTTAGTTTTATTCCATTTTGTTCATCTTTCTGATGAAGGATTTTCCCTATTAATTAAGAAGGCCTTGCATGATAAGAAATAGATTCAATAACAGAAATTTAAAAGCCAGACTACATTTCAGTTGTTTTTCTATGTGGTCAAAAGGTGCCTTATAACAGCAATATTATCACATAGCTGTATTACAGTCAAGTTTTTTCAGTTCTTAAAAGCTCTTACATAGAAGAGTCTGAATTCTATTCTAGTTCTCTTTGTGGCCACCCATTTTCAACGAAGAGAGATGATAGGAGTGAAAAACAGTCTTCAAAGATTATTTCTGAGGATTTAACACAGGGCTAATTGAAAAGTAAATGTAGGTGAAACAGCCCACTGCATGGAGATGATTTTGTTGAGCATTTTTATTAATGCAAGACTTCCTCACTGAAGTGCTGGACCTCCTTCGTCAACATGGTTGTACACACCAGATCGATTTGCAACATGCGGGCAACTCTAGCAAGTGCTCAAAACTGCCTAATTCCTGAATTGTTCAAAGAGGGCTATAGAGTGTTATACAGCACAGTTCAATTTGAATTATAGCAAGGTTTATTGATGTTGTCTCTTTAAAGATCCTATTACTATTACTGAAGTCATCAAACAAATCCCATTCAAAGCATGAACCCTGCCTTCTATGCATTTTTCTTGTTTTCTTTGGAAATTGCAAGCAAACTCATACACATATTTCTCCACAGAGAGTATTTCACATGGTAGGTAATATTGGACAATGTTTAAATAAGAAGAGACTTAGCTGGTGGACATAGAAGCAAGAGAAGGTGCAAATTTGTATCTTAGAGTTGTAAAAGTTTAAGCTTTCTTCCTATGTATCTGCTCAGATGTTTGTTTTGGGTTTTTTTTTTAAGAAAAAATCCTCTGGTACATTCAAGATGCTGGGACAATCTGTGTTTTATTTTTAGAATCTGTCAAAACAAGAAAAAAAAAAAAAAAAGGTGAAGAAGGGTCACAACTATGTTGAACCATTGAACCACTTTGCTCTATCTATGACTGTCAGAAAATTCAGAACAGCCTGTAACCGAAAACATCAGCTCAGGTATAAATTCACTGAACCGGTACGACCCCAAGCACAAAGTTCTAATTATTATATGCTTGGCAGGTTCTCTGAACAACAGAAAGTATAAAAGAACTTGTAGATACTACTGGGACTTTTTTCATTCTCCCACGTCTGGGGATTTCTGGCAGAAGCCAAAAGCCTTCTTACTTCTATTACGTTCAAATTGGTTTGTATTTACAGTAGTTCAGCATGAAAAGTATCCCGTGACCTAAAAGGTTAAAAATAATCTATCATAATATGGCTGAATGTTCAGGCCATTTCCTTTTTAAGCAAAGGTCTTCTCATTGTTCTTGTTTTTCTAATTTGTAAACTACACACAATCATAACTTTTCTCTAAATATATTTGTAACATTAAATCCTTCCTGGATTAACTCTGTTAACAGCAACCATTATATAAGAGTAGGGGGGGGGGGTGTTTAAACAGATGTGTTTTCTGAAATACGGCAAGGATTTTGATTACAAATGTAGCTAGGTGTTCAGTTTCACAGACGTTCTCCAAGACCAGCATCCTTTTCTAGCTTTTAAAAAAACTCCCTCTTCTCCCACTCTGTTTTGCTATGTTTACCAGACTAGCAGGGTAGCCACTATCTATCTACACTCTGCAACAAAGCAGATGGGAAAAGGAAATTTGGGCAACACATAATAGAGAGTTATCTGCTTTTGAAAAAGTCCCACAGCAACTTTTAACACTCAACAGAATAAAATAAACCTTCGCTTTTAAGATTCCACAGTAACAAACCCTGGGATTTTCTTTTTCCAATTAAAAGAAAAACATCTACTATCAATGAATCTAAAAAGGAGAGAAAAACCTAAAACCATTGCTGGGATCATTCTGCTTGGGGAACCCCAGAATTTCTCAGTCAGACCTCAGTTCCCTCAAGAAACAGCCCCACTGGAGTACCCCTGAGGGAGCCGTTATTCAACACCAGTATGGCTGGCAGAGCCTGTCCTTATTAACACATGGTGAAATTCATCTAACCTAGCTTTAGATATCAAAAGGTTAGACATTTAATTCTGAGTTTGTCACCGCAGGCTTTTCTACAGTCAATGGAGAGAAGCAGGTATCTCCAGGGGGCAAGTCTTCTGACCTGCCTATTTTAGGCTAAGATGAATCACTCTCTGAAGGTGCCCATTTTTCCTCAATCGACTGTAACATGAATCTAGGGTGACTTCCCCAGACTTCGATATCTACATTTCTGATACCCTGGTGAAGACATCTGAATTTCACCTACAAATTTCAGAGCTCAAACCCAGCATCTCTGACAAATTAGCAGTGTTAAGTACCTGTTCCTTGAAACAGAAATTTTCACAAGCTCCCAGATTATATTTCAGTTGACTTTCATAATCCTGTCCCCTATAAAAACACTGCCACTCATAGTTTCAAGCCAGTAAATTAATACATTAAAAAAAAAAAATAAAAGGCAAAAATTAGTTTAACTCTGCTGCAGTAATAATGCTTTGGTTTCTTCTTATTCAGACCTGACTTCCACAACTTCTCTGAATCCATCAGTGAAGCACTTTCAGTACAAATACTTTTGTTATTATAAACCAAAATGCAACAAGCATCTTTCCTAACTACATTTTTCTGCTCAACAGCCTGACATGAAATTTCAATTCATAGTTTTTATCCTTCATACCTTCACAGCAACATACAAATTAAGTACAGGACACCATCAAAAGAGAGAAATTGTTTCATGCATCTTCCTTTCATAACAGAGGTCTTCCAGCTACGCATTTTTCCCATGGGATAAGCTAATGTTACAAATTCAGAAAGGTCCTTTCAATTATTATTTTTGGACAGACGATCCGTTAGAGCAATACTCACCATTAGCACTGTACTCATGGATATATTCTATACCTTAAGGCTAAATGACCCATCAGATAGAATCTAATCCATGATCCATCAGCATTTAACTTAAATGACAGTCCTATATGTTTTTCCTTTAATAACAAATTCTTACCATATATGTCTTTTTCCACAGATGCATTCCCATCTCTCTCACAGGATCTGAACTAGCAACACTGTTTCTGCAATACAAAAACATAAAATGTTTCTTTAAGTATTATATTACCACCTTGTTCACTTTATATATGTTTTGGAAGTTTTTTCTTGTTTTTTTAAAAAAAAGCTCTAGCCAATGAAATAACTGCTAGAATAGTTGGTAAATTATATACAAGAAAAACTAAATGGGAAAAGGAAAAGGAAAACTAAGAAGAAATACTCTATTTGCTACTAATGAGAGCTTCTTTAGAATCTTACTCATTTTTAACATATCACCACTATTATCACTAAATAAAATGAGTTTTGACACGACCAACTAAAAATAAAAAAAAAAATCTGTTTCATTCAAGTCTATCCATTTATTTCAGTCTGCCTTACCTACAATATCGCTCTATACTCTGTTGCTACAGTGCAATCTATTTGCCAAAAAATGTGCCTACAGCAGTCAGTCAAGTTATTAGGTACCTGATTACTGATCATCTCGCAGTTACCCTGTGGCAGATTCTCCTCTCCCACTCACACAAAGGCAGAATCCAGACCCCAGCGTGTGCAAAGCTGTGAGTGATGCTAGCTCTAGACGTCTAACTGAAATGGGAACTGTCATCTACCAATTCCTATTCACTTCCTGAATTTTAGCACATTTTAAACACTGTTGTCCTTAACTACCTGCAATCAGCAGCTGCCCTTAACAGTACTTTTAAGGAAGCACTCTGCAATATTTTTGCCATGATTCATAATAACAGTCCCACAAAGAAACGTAGTTAAAGCATAGGCTTAGCTGAAAGCCCATGGCTGATCTCGAATGGGAATGCCATAGTGTTTTCCTCAACAACAAAACAAGTGAATACTCTACATACAGATCTAAAACATAAACCCTAACAATTTATTTCCAAAGCAAATGTTTTATTTACTTGGTTACATAGTTATCAGGGGGAATCACTACCACTACATGCTGAATTTAGGAGACTGGACAGAACAGAAATAAACTCTTCATCTACCTGGATAGTGAAAACATCACCTGTTACACTGGAGGCAGCGCTGTCAAGCACCATTCCCCAGAGCAGCCTTCAAAGCAGTCAGAAACCTCCCTGAGGAGCAGGTACATCTAATTGTCAAGGTGGTACCTGTACCAACCTAGAGCATCGGGCTCTGTCCAGTTTCAAAAGCAATTATATTGCCTTTTTAGTGGATCCTGTATAATAATAATCATCATCATCATCATCACCTCTGTGCTCCTTAACAGACCTATCGGCCAAATTCAACATATACAAAACTTCGATGACCAAGCCTGGAAGGGCTTCCAGTGCACATCAGAGCAAAGGCTTAAAATGGAGTGAGCTCTCATAGCTCTTGAAAAAAACACTTAAACACAAAGTTTGATTCTTCACTGTATCTTAAAGAGCCATCCCAATTTTGGGAGCCCAAGTCTGCAGGAGCCAACAAGAACAGAGGCAGAGGCAGACAGCTTTTCCCCAGCAAGGGCCCTATAGACTAAGTCTGCCAGGGGTCAGTACAAGCAGCCAGGTAACAGTTACCAGGTTGTAACTGTACAGCCCACAAAAAACTACAGGAGAAAGGAAGCGTATGCTGATTAAGATTGCTTAAAGTTAACAACTGAACTTGGCAAAACTGTTCCTTTGTCTTAAGGTCTGTCATTCCTATACATTCCCAAATCCCTCATCTCTGTTCTGTCTGTTGAAGGTGTTATATTCTCTGAGCACTAATGCACAATCAAATATATTTCTTAAGAAAAGCAGCAACTATTTTGTTCATAGCATTATTTTTATAGATGACTTTAGGTTTGATTCCCCTTCACACTCTTAATACAATAGTAGCTAATGGCCTACAAATTTCAATTAAAAAAATCACAAATGTATTGTGTTTGTGTTATTTACAGAACAAAAATAAAGACTATATTTCTGGAGGATGGGAGCAAGACGCAAGAACTGCTTTTCAAATGCAATAAAAATAATAATTCTGCCATTATGCTGAGACTTTTCACAGCAGGACAAGTTTTTATTAAAAAGATATAAAGTTCTCAGAATGCAGATTATAGGGGGCATGATGACACTAATTAGAAATCCTTAGGAGTGTCCATAGAACACAACTTAAAGGCATTGAATGAATCTGCAAAATTAATCATGGGCATTTGGAAATGTTTACCCACATGCTACTGGCTTAGTTAAAGTCAGTCAAATTTTAGGAGCAGGTGCCTAGTTTTTATTATATCCCTGTAAAGCTCTCTGCTGTGGGTTACTGAGGACAGAAAAAGAGGAGGCAGTATCTGGCCAGGTATGCATGATCTGTTAATCGCACCACTTGGAACTCTGGCTCTCAGAATAGAATAGAATGCCTTGATATAAAACTAATAGTGACTCAGAGAAAATACTTTTTCTGACAGGTGTTGGGAGGTGCTGGCACAAATGAGCTAACGGTCTCTTAAATGTATAAAAGAACGTGGTCAAAAGTAATTTGTCCCCAGTCTCCACCTTCTCTCCCAGTCCAAATTGCTTTCGTGTTGGCAAATACCTTGACAATAGTAAAGATGTGAAATAAAGTTTGGCCCCACCGAGCTCAATGAAGAAGTTTCCACTGAACTTGCTGGAGACAGAATTTCACTTGTGAAGAGTAAAATATCAAGGTTTGGTCCCCCTTGCTCAAGTCTGAGATCCAGCATGTTTATGAAGTGATGACTGCAGGATACCTGGAAGTGGCATGTTCCATGCTGTGGTGTTCCTGTTCATGCTCAGGAAAGCAAGGTGTCTGTTTTAGGCTGTATGAGAAAAAGGCACCTCTCATAGGAGTAAATATTGCATTTGGTGGGTGGAAGCTATTCCCAAATGAAAACAACCAGACCAGCTATATTGTTCTGCTGTCTGAAGTTCACAAGAACCCTCCAGTATAAAATATTTCTATGCATTTCACTGAATAATTTTCAGCCCTATGAAATATTATTAAAGTAAGAATTTAACTTAATATGAATATATGCAAAATACAACATTCTTTTCATGCAAAATATATTCACTTATATTGCTTGGGAGAATGACAATAGATTACTCTGGACTATCAAGTCTAGAATTCTACTCCACAGAGTATGTGAAACACTTAACAGCAGAGAAACAAAATCCCCATACACTTTACGCATCACCAGTGCTAATTATGCAATGTTGCAAAAGAAGTTAAAAAAAGGCAAAAAAACCCTTTCTGTCCCTTAAGCTTTCAATTTGCTTTCTTAAGCACTGAGTATTTCACCCTATTTTTTTAGCTGCAGAAATAATAATAACTAGAAATAATTTTATAATATTTTCATGTATGTTCAATAAAAATTGAAAAGTATAAAAAACCCTATACCTGAACAATAACAGGTTGATGTTTACTGAATAATGCTTGGAGTATATAAAGAACGTCTTTTTAAAACAATTCCAAGAAAATGCTATATTCTGTAGCTTTTGAATGGAAGGGGACAAGCGACTGACAATTTTTCCTGTAGATTAGGTAGAAGATAATTGCAATAGCTGCTTCCCTCTTCCTTAGTAAGTGAACCGGGCAACATCAGGACCTCACCAAACAGGCACCGGTGACTATCAGCAGATGAAAGAAATCACCACAGCCTTTTTCAAAGATCGGCTCTTAACCTGCTTCAATGACTTTGCAGGCAGCCTACCTGGTTTGTTTGCAGCTTTAATACACTGGTGGCTACTTATGCAAAAAAGGCAAAAACTAATTAAATTTGTTTATGTATGTTATCGTGTGGAGCACTCATTTCCAGACATCAAGCTATGAATCATTAAATAACTGCTAAATTGGTCTCCTGGGATAGATCATGCCTCGGAGTTGAGCAGGCCCCCATCCCACCAAAGCCAGGTGTGCTCTGCAGCGGGCAGGCATTAAAACTGCTTTAAAGGCCATGATTTGGGTACGCAGCCAGGTCTCACACTGTGAGGTGAGTGGTAGGAAATCATGAAAACAGTGACAGCCCTCCTGTCAGAGTTACTCCTCTGTTTGATTAATGAGGGCATTTGAAAGACAATTAGCCAGAGCAGGTTTGGCTGCAACTAGCTTATCAATCAGGCACCCTCTATTCAAAGCACCAGTGCCTCCTTTTGTTTTTTGTTGAAAAAAGAATTGTATCAGTGATACACAAACAAGAAGGGACCTTTACGTGTTATTTTAAAAAGGAGAGCAAAACGTAACACATCAGAACTGAAATAGTAAAAAAAAAAATGTTTTGTAAGCCACAAGCCACCAGTTTACCGGCAAATCATCACCATAACTTTCACTTCCCTGGATTTTTAGCTTGTGAATTCAAGGCTACACAACTACATCAAACACTTCCAAGTTTCACAAGGACAAGTTTGAGCTAAGTTTTCAACAACAATGAAACTCGGCCACAAAGGATCACATCTGTAACAATAAAAAAAAAAATAAAAATCCTTCATTAGAAAGCCTACTGTGAGCCCTACTCTCTGAGCTTCAATATGTTTCAAATATGAACTGTTTCAATTTTTAAAAAATGAAATTGTTGCAATAATTCATCAGTTTGATTTATTTATTAGTAATGTAACCGTATTCCTTTCCAACTACCAGCATAGGTAGAATTTAATATAATACTGACTTCTTGGACACCTGCTCTCCCAGGAGCATGTTTCATGTTTTGGTTTAACTGAGAGCTTTGCTTCTACTGGAGTAGTCCTTGGCCCCATGTAAGTGATCAGAAATATGCAATGGACTATTTAAACCATGTCAGTGCTTTTCCTGAAGATCTGCATTTCTATCAGAGCAGTTTTTATCAAACTAAGAAAATTATTATTTTTGCCTTTAAACAAGTAAGAACCAAAATAGCAACTCCTGTACTTAAATTACGCTAGTCACTAGATCTGAATAAATCCAAGACTGAAAGAGTAGGATTGAGACTGAAGTGAGATGCACCACTTTTCCTTTCAGTTAACTCTCCCTGGTAATACCAGACCAGAAGTATTTTTAATGCACGACTAATGTAGTACTAAGTGAAAATATATGCAATGTT